AAATAATCAGCAGTTGATACAGACAACAAAAGATGCCTTACACAAGGCATTCAAGATTAAAGACCTAGGAGAACTAAAGTTTTTTTTGGGAATGGAATTCAGCAGGTCAAGTAAAGGTATCCTGGTTAATCAAAGAAAATATGCTTTGGAGATCATATCAGAATTGGGGCTTGGAGATGCTAAACCAGCTTGGACACCTCTTGAAGTCAATGTGAAACTCACTGTGTCAGAGTATGACAAGTTGACAGGCAACAAAGATGATGATCTACTTGAAGACAAGGGGCAGTATCAACGACTGATAGGAAAATTACTATATTTGACACTAACAAGACCAGATATAGCATATACAGTCCAAACACTCAGCCAATTCCTTCAACAACCAAAAAGATCTCATTGGAATGCAGCAATGAGGGTTGCTAGATACATAAAGAGGGAACCAGGTCTAGGAGTATTATTCAATAGTGAGAAGTCACATAAGATCTCTGTGTTTTGTGATGCAGATTGGGCATCATGTCCTAACACAAGGAGATCAGTTTCAGGTTTTTTGATCAAGTATGGTGAATCACTGGTTTCTTGGAAGTCAAAGAAACAAAACACAGTGTCAAAAAGTTCAGCAGAAGCTGAGTACAGGAGCATGGCCAGTGCTATATCTGAAGCTGTTTGGTTGATTGGATTGCTAAAGGAATTGGGAGCAGATGTGGAACTACCAGCTGAATTGTATTGTGATAACAAGGCAGCCTTACAAATAGCTGCCAATCCGATATATCATGAAAGGACTAAACATATTGAAATTGATTGCCATTTCATCCGAGAGAAAATACAAATGGGGCTGATCAAGACACAGCATGTGGCTTCAAAGGATCAGTTGGCAGATATATTAACAAAAGGACTCACCAGGATACAACATGAATCATTAACGGGCAAGCTGGGAGTACTCAATGTTTTTGTACCCACCAGCTTGAGGGGGAGTGTGAAAATAGGAGTTACTTAATTAGTAGTGGGGCTTTCTTGTAAATATCAATAGTTAGGTGGGGTATTTGTAAAGTGAGCTACATATATGTAATAGTTAGTTTGTACAGATACAACTAATTCATTCTCTCCTTCATCATCTCTGATATATCGAAGCTCTTCCTTCTTCTTCTTCATTTTTCCCTTTTACTTCCATTTTAGGTTGAGATCATATTCAACCATAATTCAATATATATTGTAGCAGATAATCTGTCTTATCTTCAAGATTATAAATTCCAATAAGGAGGTTTAATTTACTTGTAGATATGGGCATAATATAAAAAATTATGGGCGATGTGAAGCCGTACCCTATATTTATGCCACCTTTTAACCTATACCCTATTTTTAAAAAGTATTGATTTCATAACCAACTAACAAAAAATCCGTAATAATATGACCATTATACCCCTTCCTAAACATATAAAAGATGCATCAAGCACACCCAGATTCAAATTCCAGAGCCATATCTCCTCCATCACTCCGTCTCTCCTGAGATCGCGTATCGCAAACCAGATTTGAACCAGATTAAAATTCCAAATTAAAAATTACAAAATACATTGTAAGTATTCAAATTCATCTAATTTTGATTGATTGAAGTTGTTTGACGAACTTCACTGATATGCTGAATTTGCATTCTAAATCTGTTTGACGTTCAATTCTAACATTCTAATCCGACAAATATGCTGACAAGCTGAAGTTATTTAGTTCATATCTAAATAATTCAGCAAAACGAGTTATATGAGTGTTATCATTGTTTATTTGCTAAACAAGCTGAAGTTATTTAGTTCATATTTAAAAAATTCAGCAAAACGAGCTGAAGTTTTCCTCCTACACTGGTTAAATATTAAACATAAATTAAAATTTCATATTGCAAAAAAACTTAAGCATTAGTTGCTGAAGATTTTTACGTAATCTTTAAAAACATCAGCAATATGAGCTGGAGTTTTCCTCCTAGACTGGGTAAAAAAAAACATAAATTAAAATTACACATTGCACAAAAAACTTCAGCATAAATGCTGAAGTTTTTTAGTTAATATTTAAAAACTTCAGCAGGAAGAGCTGAAGTTTTCCTATTACACTGGGTAAAAAAAAAATAAAACATAAATTAAAATTATATATTGCACAAAAAACTTCAGCATAGGTGCTGAAGTTTTTCAGTTAATCTTTAAATACTTAAGCAAGAAGAGCTGAAGTTAATTATTTCGTCTGCTATTTTTTGATTTTAAATAGAATTAATATTAAAAAAAAACGCACAAAAAAACTTATAACAAAAACTGAATATTTCATTAAACATTAAAAAGGATAAATTAAATTACATAAATAACAAAAAAAAACTAATCTTCATCATCATCATCGTCGTCGTCCCTACCAGATGGACGAGCATCTTCATCAGCAAGATTGTCAAATCTTGCATACATCACAAGCGTATCAAGCTTGTTGTTGATTTCTTCCAGCTCCCTGTCGTACTTGTCTATGAGCTCATCCAGTTTCACCTAAAAGTCCTCTATAATGTCTTGCTTGATCTCTTCTATTATTTGCCTGATGATAGCATCCATTTTCCTCCTTTTTGTATTTTATGTCTGCTAAAATATATGTGTTTGAGTGAATAAACTCACAAAGTATAGCGTGCTTTTATAGGGGAAAAAAACTTCTGCATGGTATATGAAAAGGCAAAGAGGAATTTTAAACGTTGTCTAAAGAAAAGCGTGCATGAATGTGATAGGAATGTAATTATTACACTAACACATACACCCAACGCAATATAATTACTACTTTAATTGTGTTTGTTATGTTTACTCCTGTATACTATGCATTTAATGCTGAAACATGCTCAAGTTTGTTGAATTCATTTTCTAAAATTCAGCTCAATGTGCTGAAGTTTTTTAGTTCATTTCTAAAAACTTAAGCACTTGATAAGCTGAAGTTTTTGTCCTGGACTCGATAGTTTTTGTCCTAAAGCTTTTTCAAATAACTTCAGCTCAATGTGCTGAAGTTTTTTAGTTCTAATTTTCTAAAAATTTACAGTCAACTTACGTATAAGTACTGAAGTTTTACGTTACGTCGGTACGTCGTACGTAAGTTTGTTGAATTCATTTTCTAAAACTTCAGCTCAATGTGCTGAAGTTATTTAGTTCATTTCTAAAAACTTCAGCACTTGATAAGCTGAAGTTTTTCTCGTGGACTCAATAGTTTTTGTCCTAAAGCTTTTTCAAATAACTTCAGCTCAATGTACTGAATTTTTTATCTCATTTCTAAAAACTTCAGCACTTGATAAGCTGAAGTTTTTGTCCTGGACTCGATAGTTTTTGTCCTAAAGCTTTTTCAAATAACTTCAGCACATTGAGTTGAAGTTTTTTAGTTCATTTCAAAAAACTTCAGCACTTGATAAGCTGAAGTTCTTGTCCTGGACTCGATAGTTTTTGTCCTAAAGCTTTTTCAAATAACTTCTCAATGTGCTGAATTTTTTTAGTTCATTTCTAAAAACTTTAGCAGTTGATAAGCTGAAGTTTTTGTTCTGGACTCGATAGTTTTTGTCCTAAAGCTTTTTCAAATAACTTCAGCTCAATGTGCTGAAGTTATTTAGTTCATTTCTAAAAATTTCAGCACTTGATAAGCTGAAGTTTTTCTCATGGACTCGATAGTTTTTGTCCTAAAACTTTTTCAAATAACTTCAGCTCAATGTGCTGAAGTTATTTATTTCATTTCTAAAAACTTCAGCACTTGATAAGCTGAAGTTTTTGTCCTGGACTCGATAGTATTTGTCGTAAAGCTTTTTAAAATAACTTACGCAGAAACTGCTGAAGTTATTTAGTATATTTAGTGATGAGCTGAAGTTTTTGTCCTACATTTGACACTTTTGTTATGACTTTTAACCAAAACTACAGTCTGCAGGATGAATCCGATTTGCGTTGTTATAAATTTCAATGGGAGGTGGACTCCTGATTTCAAATACTTGGATCATGATACCAAACTTGTTCTACTTAATAAGCACATATCATTCAATACTTTCCTGAAGAAAATTAGTGAAGTTGCAAATATGGATTCAACCAGATATGTACTAAAAATATGATTTGATATCAAACTAAATACAAGCAAAGGAATGCTTATAACTTCAGATGAAGAACTCAGTACCTGTATATATTTGCTTACAACTGATTCAGCCTACAAGAATTGCCATTTCGTCATCGAAAAAATACAACCTTCAGAATCTAAAGCATTCAAACAATCTCTTGCATATGCGATAGATTCAGAACCTTTTGCTGATTATCAACATGAAGTAGGACAGCCAATAATGGAAGTAGACAACGAGCAACAACCTTCTAACATTACAGCTGCTTCAGAATATATAATGCTGCAACAATTACCCCCTCCTCCAATAAATTCATACCAGTTTGTCGAGGACCAAGAAGAAGAAGGATAGCTAATAATGCAAATTGACAACCAACAAACAATCCAAGAAAGTTTTTTGTTACCTTCTGCAATGATAAGCAACAACGAAGATGAAGTAAACATGGAACTTATACCGATAACATCAGATAGAATTGAGGAAATTGCTGAAACTTCTTGTGCTTCTCAGAAATCAAGAAAAAGAGTGAGGAGAAAGCTGAAAGAATCTCCACCATGTAAAATACTTAGGCACGATGCGTTGCCTGAGGAAGTAAGAGTCAGATCAATTTTTGAGAACAAACAAAACATGACTAAATTTTTCTTCAGCTTGGAGATAAACCAGAAAGTTTAATTCACTGCTGTTAGATCATGTTCAAAGAGATACGAGCTAAAATGCATTGTGGACAAATGTGGCTGGAATGTACGTGCTACCAGAATAAAAAATTCCACACTATTCAGGGTGATAAAATATCATAACATCCATGAATGCTCAGTTGATGCAAGAAAATCAGATCAGAAGCATGCTACATTTTATAAGTGAACAAATTATAGAACATGTTCAAGACAAAAAGATAGAGGTTACACCAGCCTTTGTAGAAAATAAAATGAAAAAGAAATTTGGAATTGACATTGGTTATCACAAGGCATGGCGTGCTATTCAAAAAGATGTTGCTTGCATAAGGGGAACACCTGAAGAGAACTACCAGATTCATCCTTCATACCTACACATGATGGTGTGCAAAAACCCAGGAACGTACACAAGCATAAAAAGAGATGGGAAGAATAGGTAAGCAAAACAATACTAACTATCAGCCTCAAGTTTCAAATGTTCCTATTTGAAAATTTTCACACCTTATGATTTGTTTTTTTGTGTTTCACTGTACAGATTTGCTTACATGTTCTTTGCTCCTGCGGCATCAGTAGCGTGTTGGTCCTACTGTAGACCCGTTATTGCAGTAGATGCAACGTTTTTAAAGTCCAAATATCGTGGTGTTCTATTTGTTGCTGTATCAAAGGATGCAAACAATCAAATCTTTCCTCTATGTTTTGGTGTAGTAGAATCAGAAAACAATGAGGCATACATTTGGTTCTTCGGGGAAATGAGAAAAGAAATTCAAGTCCGTCGTGAATTGGTTTTCTTGTCAGATAGAAACCAATCGATTGCAAACGGGATTAGAAAAGTTTTTTCTGAAGCTCACCATGGTATCTGCCTCTATCACTTTGAGAAAAATTTAAAGCAAAGACATGAAAAAGCCACGGTAATAAATCTTTTTCAAAGTGCTGCAAGGTCATACAAACGTGAAGATTTTAATCAGTTAATGTCCCAACTCAAAAGTATTGACAAGAAAACATACAATTACATAACGGAAGAGCCTCCAGAGAGATGGGCTCGATCGTGGTTCCCACAGAGACGTTATGATATGCTAACAGCAAACATGGTAGAATCAATGAATTCCGTTTTACTAAAAGGGAGAGAAATGCCTATTTTAAGAATGTTAGATTTCATCCAAGAAAAGTTGGGAGAGTGGTTTTACGAACGGAGAAAAAAGGCAAATGAAACTTTTCACAGTGTATCAATATGGGCAGAAGAAGAGATGACTAAGAAGATGGACTTGACTTGTAAAATGTTTGTGAGTATATTTATTAACTTCAGCTTTTTATATCTATTGCAGTGATTTACTACTTACATTCAAAAAATTTCATACTTTTTCTTTTTGAAGCAACAATACACTAATATAGTTTGTCTTAATTTTTTATTCCTTGTTAGGTGTTCAACCTTGATTCAATGTTGTTCAGAATAAATAGTGTGACGACCCAAAGGGTCATCACCGAATTTCTCTTTTTCGTGCTTCCGAGGCCTTGAAAACCTCATTTCTGCTTGCCTCGATTTGCGTGCGCAGTCCGGGCGCGAAGCCGAAAAGCTTTTATGTTGAAATATGTGAATTTTGTGAAAAATTTGAAGAATTTTGATATTAATATTGCTAAAGTTGACTTTGGTCAACATTTTTGGTAAACGGATCCGGACCCGTGATTAGGCGATCCCGGAGGGTCCGTAGAAAAATATGGGACTCGGGCATATGCCCGGAGTCGAATTTCGAGGTCGAGAGCCCGAGAAATGAATTTTTCTGTGAAATTGTTTTTCTGAAATTATTAAGGAAAATAGAAATAAAAATTGATCAAAAGACTATGGTATCAGGCTCGTATTTTGGTTCCGACGCCCGGTACAAGTCTTAAATATGTGTTAAGCGCTTTCTGTAAATTTTGGTCGAAATCGGATGTCATTTGACGTGTTTCGGACCTAAATATCTAAAATTTGAAGTTATGAAGTTTGAAATGAAAATGATGATCTTAAGGCTTGATTCAATGATTTTGATGTTATTTTGGCGATTTGATCGCTCGAGTAAGTTCGTAGGATGTTATTGAGTTAGTGTATGTGTTTGGTTGGGAGCCCCGAGGGCTCGGGAGTGATTCAGAGGTGGTTCGGGGTAATTTTACACTTAGAAAACATAGCAGATTTTCTGCAATTTTTGCACAGCAAATCCCTTCTTCGCGTTCGCGTTCCAGTCACGCGTTCGCGAAGCTTCAGTGGTCCCTCTTCATCGCGTTTGCGGACAATACCCCGCGTCCGCATAGCCGATGCTTCCCCTTCACCGCGTTCGCGAGTCCTCTCTCGCGTGCGTGTACTAGCCAGTCCCAGACCCCAGCCCCTTCTTCTACGCGTTCGCGATTAGCACCTCGCGTTCGCGATGCCTTAAACCATCCACCCTTCGCGAACGCGTCCTCATTCACGCGAAGCGAAGGGCATTTTTGCCCAGCGAATTTGTAAGTTCAAAACAGAATCAGTAGCTCGGGATTTAGCCATTTCTTCACACGAGCTCCTCTCTCTAACACTCCATAGGCGATTTTGAAGAGCTTCTTTCTCCATAGCCTCTTAGGTAAGTGTTCTTAACTTCTTTCCCTCTTAATTTCTTCCACTAATCACTAATTTTCTAGCCCTAAATAATGAATTCAAAGTAGAAAATGGGGGTTTTGGGTAGAGTTAGGGCTTTGGGGATTTTGGGTGATTCAACCTCAATTTGGGGTCGAATTTTGAAATAAATTATATATTTGAACTCGTGGGGTTATGGGTGATTGGGTTTTGGTCCGAGCCTCATGTTTGGACCATGTGGGACCGGTGTCGAATTTTGGTGTTTTTGGAAGAATGATAGGAATTTCATTTCTAGGCTATGAGATTATGTTTTTGAGCCCTTATTGATATTATTGAATTAATTATGCCTAGATATCATTGTTTTGGAGTTGGATTGTAGAGGAAAGGCGGTATTAGAGAGTTGATTGCTATTCTTGGACCGAGGTAAGTGTTTGTTCTAACTTTGGCTTGAGGGAATAGGATTAGGATGTTATTTGCTACTTGCTAAATGTGGAGTACGGTGTATAGGCATGGTGACAGTTGTCCATGCACCGGAGTCTAGCATGACCGTGAGTCTTAATTGCTTTTAATTCGAATGATGTGACACAACCTTCTTGTTTAATTGATAAATTTCATATAATGTGAACGGTTGAGGAAGAATTGTGATTGGTATATTTTGGAGCGTTAGCTCGAACAAGAATGTGATAGTTGAGAAAGAAGTGATTTAAAATAGGATGTGTTGTGATTATTCCCTTGCCGGGACGTGTAGACTATTATTATGTACTCTCCCTTGCCGGGATATTTGGGCTGTTAGCTGTACCCTTGCCGGGTTAAAGTGTTATGTTGTCAAATTCCCCTAATGGGGCCTCCTTTACAAAGCTAGATATTTTGAACTATGAAATGGGATCGTGTGGCACGCCGACCACTTATATATTATGAAATGGGATCGTGTGGCACGCCGACCACTTATATAATATGAAATGGGATCGTGTGGCACGCCGTCCACTTATATATCTATTATGAAACGGGATTGTGTGGCACGCCGTCCACTTATGAATTAAGAAATAGGATCGTCTGGCGCGCCAACCACTTATATGTGAGCTATGGTATTGAGATAGTTTCGTCGTTATATCCGTTGATCTATATTCGCTGTATTTTTCCCCGAGCGTGCCCCCTTCCCCTTTTTAGTTGATATTCTCTGTTGTTATTTCTGTTGCCTTTGTATATATATATATATCCGCACAGGTTGTTTTCGGTAGGTCCTGTCTAGCCTCGTCACTACTTCGCCGGGGTTAGGCCAGGCACTTATCAGCACATGGGGTCGGTTGTGCCGATGCTACACTTCTGTGCTTTTTGCACAGATCATAGTACCGGAGCAGGAGCCTTTGGTCAGCAGTAGGAGCGTTGGGAGCTTACTTCAGTCCGGAGATTCCCGAGGTAGCTTGCTGGCATCCGCATGGCCCGGAGTCTCTCTTATCTCTGTCTTTCGTTTGATTTCCCTTGTATCGGATCAGACAGTACTATATTCTTATTCAGACTTTGTTTTTAGCATTCAGTAGAAGTTCGTGAGTTAGTGACACCAGATCTGGGTAGAGGTATATTGAATTTTCGCACTTGGTTTCAGTTATTTATGTATCGAGACTTCCGCTTTTATATTAATTGCCTCATTCTTCTTTATACTGTTAATGATGTTGAGAGAAATGTTAAACTAATTGGCTTGCCTAGCTCCTATTAGTAGGCGCCATCACGACTCCCGAGGGTGGGAAATCCGGGTCGTGACAAATAGTGAAGGAATCGAATTCATTGTGGACTTAAAGAAGAGAACTTGTGACTGCCTGGAATTCCAACTTGATGAATTGCCCTGTCCACATGCAATTGCTGCTATTAATAAGAGATATTTGCAGAAATCTGATTACTGCTCAAATTGGTATTCAAAGGAAACATGGTTGAAAACATATGAAGGACATGTGAATACCGTGGGAGATCAAAAATCATGGGATATACCACAAAATGTACAATCTGGGATCACAAAACCTCCCGATGTAGAGATTTTACAAGGAATAAGACAAAAGAAGAGGCATATACCTGTGACTGAATCAGTACCATTCAAGTATACCAAATGCAGTTGATGTAAACAAGTTGGGCATAACAGAACAACTTGCTTGTCTTCTCCAGCCCCTCATCCATATTCAAAGAAACACACTGAAAAATACTCCAACCTTCAATAATCCTTGGTCTGAATTTAGACTTTCATTATTGTATGACATATTTGAAATGTGATTTTTTTAATAGGAATTAAAAAAAAAGAAGCTCTTGGACTATTTTATATACTGCTAAAGTACAAATCACTCATTTTTGTTGCACAGGCTTACAGGTTTGGTTGCATTTTAAAAAAGTACGCAATGACTTCTGCGAGAAAAAACTTCAGGTTACAGTATGTGAAATACACATCCTTAACAAACACACACACACACACACACACACTCACACACACATACGCGTACAACACAAAAAAGAAAGGCATGTACAAACAAAATCTTCAGCATCTATAAGCTGAAGTTATAAAAAATGAACTTAATAACTTCAGCATATTCAAATAAAAAAGTACAACATAAAAATATAAAAAAGAATTACAAAAACTAAACATAAAAACTAACTAAGAAGTATAAAGCAAATACCAACAAATAAGAAGAATAATGCAATAGAAAGCTAAGAAGAAAGAGGATGAGAATTACATTGATTCAAAAAGAGATGAGAACAACACACAAAGTACGAACAAAAACATCAGCTCTCTCGGCTGAAGTTATACAAAATGAACCTAAAAACTTCAGCTCTATGGGCTGAAGTAAACAAAAAAGCACAACATTAAAACATAAAAAAAGGATTACAAACACTAACAATCATCACCACCACCACCACCATCATCATCATCATCACAGTACTCCTCAATTTCTCTAAATATCTCATCATCATCAGTATGGAGATAACTATAGGGTAGTCGGGCAAAAGACCACTGAATACAAGGAGATCAATCTTCAACTTGTCGAATTCATCACGCAGGTGACTTTGTTCGACGATTACTCTGTCCATAAGAGGAAGAAGAGTCTTCAGGTTGTTTTGCAGCTTGGAATAGTCGTTCCAGCTGGGAAACTGAAAACTATCAAACTGCTGCACAACCTTGTCGAACGAGGTTGAATAACCTCCACAACTACGTTCCAGCTTAAGCCTGTTCTGGAATGATTCATTGGCAAAGAGATTTGGTCTGATTCTCTCCCAATCAGCCTTTATTTGATCCCACAAAAGCATAAGATTAGCCATCGGTTTGTTATTGTACCAATCACACTTCAAAGTCTCCCACTTTTGCATGATTTCATCAAAATTAGGCTTCCTACTTCCGCTTCTACCAGACATTCTTTCTTTAACAAAAGGTGAAAGACTAAGGATGAATATAAATTAAAAGAAATATGATGGAAGTCTATGAATGACTATGAAATTTTCAAGTGAAGAGATTGTTAATATAGACAAAGAGTTCACCTAATCAATTTAATATCTATAAATATAAAAGTAACTTTTCAGATGTTTTTACTGTTTTACGTTCAGAGAAATTGAATGAAACAAGATAAGTAGGTGGTAAAACAAGTATGTGGTAAATGCAAAAAGAAATGTAACTTCAGCCCCAATAAGCCCACAGTTTTTCTATAGTAAAAAAATAACTTCAGCCTGAAAAAGACAAAAAGTAGATAGTAAATGCAAAAAAGATAAGTATCAACTTAAAAAAATACCAAAACATGCTGAAATTTTGTCATAAACTTTTTCAAAAACTTCAGCCCAATGTGCTGATGTTATTTAGTTCATTTATAAAACTTCAGCACATAATAAGCTGAAGTTTTTCATCGTGCATTCAATAGTTTTGTTGTAAATGCTTTTTCAAAAACTTCAGCTCAATGTGCTGAAGTTAGTTAGTTCATTTCTAAAAACTTCAGCACATGAGCTGAAGTTTTTCTCCTGGACTCGATAGTTTTTGTCGTAAAGCTTTTTCAAATAACTTCAGCTCCATGTGTTGAAGTTATTTAGTTCATTTCTAAAACCTTCAGCACTTGATAAGCTGAAGTTTTGACCTGGACTCGATATTTTTTGTCGTAAAGCTTTTTCAAATAACTTACGTAGAAAAAGCTTAAGTTTTTGTCCTACATTTGACACTTTTGTTATGACTTTTAACCAAAACTTCAGCTTAAAAAGCAAAATTTATTTACTTCATACTGAAGTTTAGCATATTTGAATCAATCCAAGTATACTAAAAAACTAATTAATGCGAATAGAACAAAAATTTAAAAGACATCACATAAATCACACAAAATAATGTATATTCACACAATCCAACTTTGTTTTCGCTTACATCCTTGAAAAAAAAGAAAAAATTAGTTTTTTGTTTACAAGTTATTCTCTATTCAAAAAATTGACAGAGTGTCTTCATATTCTCCATAGTCATGTCCTAGTTGCTCTTCTTGGGTTTCTTAACAAAATTCCATGAACCTTCACTATGTCTTCAACTGATTCACTCCATTTCACCAAATTTAATTCCACCAAAGCGTTTTGAGTCAGACACAGGTTGCCAAAGTTTAGTACTCCCGTCTTCTTTCATAAGAAAAAAACAAGAAAATATTGGCAAAGACATGCTTACTGGTGTGCAACTGGGAATTCGTGGGAAGCAAAGATAATGAAGGAGAAGTCCAAAAAGCTTCATATGTGACGGAGAGTGGCCACATCAAATACTCGAGCCCCAGGACAATTTTACTAAATGTTAGATTTATCAACTAGTAAAAAGAGAAAATTGTCCTGGAGCTCGAGTGTTTGATCTGGCCACTCTCCATCACATATGGAGTATTTAGACTTTTCCTTCATTATCTTTGCTTCCCATGAACTCCCTGCTACACCCAATAAGCATGTCTCTGCCAACATTTTCTTGTTTTTCTTTGAATATAAATTTAAAGAAATATGAAGAAGTCTATGGATGACTATGAAATTTTCAAGTGAAGAGATCATTAATATAGCCAAAGAGTGCACCTAATCAATTTAATAATCTATAAATGCCGAAGAAATTGTTAACTGTTTTTTGTTCAAAGAAATTGAATGTAACAAGATAAGTAGTTGGCAAAACAAGTACGTGGTAAATGCTAGTAGATGGTAAATGCAATAAAAAAAATAGTAAAAAATAAGGCCACAAAAAGTAGGTAATATAGGTGATAAATGACAAAAAGTAGCTAGAAAATGCAAAAAAGATAAGTATCAAGTTAAAAAAAATACCAAAACATGCTAAAGTTTTTTTCTTACAGCTTTTTCAAAGAAAACTTGCCACGACCCCAAACCGGCCCGGTCGTGATGGCGCCTCTCGTGAAGACAAGGCCAGCCGACACAACACCCATATTAACCCTTTAATCATTAAGAGTCATTTTTAAGCCTTTAATTAAACAAATGATTCATAATACAAGTCTAACTGAACAGTGTAGAAATAACCTACAAGCCCGACATCGGGGTGTCACTAGTCATGAGCATCTATTACAACTGTCTAACTACATCAAGACCAACATGATCGGAGGAAGTCACAATTTATACATAAGGAAGAATAAAGAGGGAGAAAGCAGGGCCACGATCGCCAGGCAGCTACCTTGCTAACTCCGATGAAACGGCCACCAAGCTCAGAAATACCTGAATCTGCACACGAGGTGCAGGGAGTAATGTGAGTACTCCAACCCAGTAAGTAATAAGAGTAAATAAAGACTGAGCAGTAGGAAACAATGAATCCACACTTATGTTAAACTCAATAAGATCAGGCTTCCAAATCATAATACGAGTCAATCGTCTCATTTAAAATCCAGCTTTTGGTAAAAATCATTTAAAAATATCTTCCAACAGTTTCAGTAGGGGTTCAATACCATTTTTAATAAAAGAGCTGAAAACCATAATCGACCCCTCAGACAAAACATAGTTCATAAACAGCCCCTCTGGCAGAACAGGAGTCATAAACACCTCCTAACAAGAAAATCTCAGTGGAAATAACAAAAGCCAAATTAGTGATCAAGTTCTGAACATCTCATAAATCCCAGCTTAAATGAAAGTGGTTTAAAAATATTTATCTAACCTTTCGACAGAGGCTCAGTATAAAGAGGAGTGAAAACAATCATTAAATCAACATATTAGATAGAAACTCACTCTAAAGAGAAGTGAAAATCAATAAGTTCATAATCAAGCCCCTCAGGCAAACATCACTCATATGCATGTAGATACATCCATGCCCCTCGGGCAAGCCTCTCAGTCAATCGTGACTTAACCCTACCATTCAGCACTCACACTCAGCACTCACACTCAATAGATACCATATAGTAACCGCTGCGGCGTGCAGCCCGATCAATATATCGCTGCGGCGTGCAGCCCGATCCATATATATAGTCGACTGCGCTCACTGGGGGTGTGCAGTCTCCGGAGGGGCTCCTACAGCCCAAGTGCTATATCGCTGCGGCGTGCAACCCGATCCAACATATCGTTGCAGCGTGAAGCCCGATCCATATAAGTATCGCTGCGGCGTGCAGCCCGATCCATACACACACACACACACACACACACACACACACATATATATATATATATTGCTGCGGTGTGTAGCCCGATCCATAGATTTGTATAATCCTTACAGTCAGGCACTCGACCTCTTTCAAACATTAACATCACCATCAGGCTCTCAGTCTATCTCAGTTATCAACCTCACAATCAAACCCTCGGTCTATCTCAGTCATCAACTCACGATCACTCGGACCATCAGTAAAACAAGTAACTCAGCCCAAACAGTTTTCACATTTTCAAGGATATAGTGATAAGGCCAGATTTANAGCAATAGCAGGTAAAACTGACTGAGGATATGCTTTCAAACAATTAGAGTGGGGAAAAATAGTAAATATGCCCCTAAGGGTCTCAACAAGTCGGCACAAGGCCCCAAATATGGCGTACAACCCAAAATATAATAATATCTAACAATTAGCTATCAAATACGCATTAAAATAATCATTCGGGATGGACTAAGTCACAATCCCCAGCGGTGCTCTACCCCACGCTCGTCATCTAGCGTGTAAATCAC